CGGACAAAGGGGACCCAGAGAGGCCCCGGGTGCTCGGCGGGGTGGGGCTGCCCCTTCTCCGGCGAGCGGTTCGGCCAGGCGGGGAAGGGACGGCTCGAGGCTCTGTGATGGGTCAGGCGGAGGGTGCGTCCGCCCTACTCTTGGCCCCTCGCGGCCCCCGTCGCCCTCGCAGGGTCGCCGTGGTTGCCCTTCTCCGGCTGTGGCGGTTGTCCGAGCCTGGGTGGGGCGAGTGAGAAGCTTCTAAGTTTTAAAGACTTGTGTTTCCGTCAGGTCTCCCTCTTACCCACGTGTTCATTTCTTCGTAACCCTGAACACGGACTCGTTTTAAGGAATAACGAGTTGAGGACTGAGTTACCCGGTCCGGTGGGCCTGACGCACGCAATGGGCCGCTGCAGGTGCGAGGGCGCGGTTTGTGCGTCCTTCCGCGGGCCAGCCGGAAAATCGCCGGTGCGGCCCAGTGCGCGACCCGGGAAGCCCGAGAGACAGCACAAAGACGCTTTCACTCCAGGGGGAAGTTCACTAGAAACCCGGAGCCCGGTAAAACATTGATTCACGTGTTAAATAACTTTCTCCATAGTGTGTCTGTGAAGCTGTTCGTTATGTAGTTGATTTTAGGTCATTGACCCAGCGCAGAATACACTGTCATGACTGAAATAAAGGTGGTATTTAAATATGGCTAACACTGAGTCTGTTGTCGTTAACGCCCTCTGGTGAAGTCTGAGGGTATTCGAGGGCCTACGAGGAATGGGGAGTTTGCAGAGGCCTTAGAGTTAGGATATTTGACCGTAAAATAATTACCAGACTCCCTGGAGAGAAGATGAGTACTCTGTTTCCAAAAAACAAAGCGAAAAATCCCCAGTGCAATCAAGTGCTCAGTGAGGAGAGAATTCACTTATTGAACGTGGCACAGGGGTTTCAGAACTGGGCAAACTGCTTCAAGAACTCACCATTTAGGGGAAGAGTTTTATACAATAGCATAACGACTACTGTGATGCTAGGAAAGTCAAAGAGAACAATGAATTTTGATTTGGGGGAGGTGCACCATAGAGAAGACTTCTAGAAGGTGAGTATAATTTTGCAAATCTGGCAAAAGGGCAACTCAAGCAGAGAAAACCCTACCAAAACAAGACACCAAAAGCTGAGATAGTGTGATTTGCATAGGTGCAAGCAATGCTTAGACTTGAGAAGCCCAGGCTTTAGGCTAGTGAAAGATTTTCCAAATATGGGAAGACAGTAGTAAGCATGAAGTAGTGAATAGTACTGGCTCTGTTAGCTTGGAAGGTGATTATTCTGGTCCAAGTTGTGGGGGTGATATGGCTAGGAAAAGATAGGACTGCGTTAAATGATAGGAGAATTTATATGCTGTGGGAGCCACTGAGTTACTCAGGTAAATTGGAAAATGTGTCCTGCTATCCAGGACTAGAAGTGGCTTCCTGTAGAAGTTGTCATTAGGAAATATATTTTGGTTTTGGTTATCCCAGTGGAAGGTGGGGGTGGGGTTGTTGTGCTGGCTTTCAATGCCAGGGGTACAAGGATTCCGAATGTTTTGTAACATTCAGGCAGTCTGCCACATCAAATGATTGTCAAATGATGAGAGCCAGTAGTGCTCTGTTGAGAATCATATTGGAGGCTGTCTGCCAGAGACCAAGGTACCAAGTGATGACCTGGATTATATAGTGGCAATGGAAATGGGGTTAAAAATGCATTAGAGGGCTGGGAATGTAGTTCAGAGGTAGAGAGCAATTATCTAGTGTGTAACGGTTGGATCACCAACACTGAAAAAGAAGGTATTAAACACATTCAGGAAAAGAATGATGTGGTAGGGACTAGTGTAATGGTACTGCTAGTAAAACTATTAAAATTGAGCTGCTATTGAATTATGATGATCAGAAGATAGTTATGTATGCTCAGTATGAGTGTGCTAATTTAATTACGGAAAAAACGTCAAACATTGAATAGTGTAGAGACTAGGTAAAAAGCCTCAACACTGAAAAACTTTGGCCAATCGTATTTCATCTTTACCCTACCTTGGATTATCTTGAAGCAGATTCCAGATGTATCACTTCTTCTGTATTTTAGTATATGTCTCTAAAAGGTAAAGACTGTAAACATGGGTGAGTGTTTTGAAGAAGGCTACATGGCTCATTCCTGTTGATGTCATTTACTTAGAAGGAACAGAGCAAGGAAAAAAAATGGAGTTGAATTTCAAATGCCAGTACGTGTGTACTGGGTTTGGGATTTGTCCTGTAAAAAGTTACAGCTCATTAAAAAAATGATTTAACCTATCCTTTGCTTTTTTCTCCTTAGCTCAGATATTTATTGAACTATATATATGAGTTCCTGTCTCTGTGCTTACAAAAATAATTCTTTTTGGATGGGTTCAGTGAGTAGTATCTCACTAGTTATTTCTTTATATATAAGCCTGCCAGTTTCTAAATAGTTCTCTAAAGATACTGTGCCTTTGTTTAGGTTTCTGTGTCAGATGTGCCCTTGACCCCTACCTCTTATCTTCCCCAACCTGCCTTTTCATGTCTGAGTGTTCTCTGACTGTGCTTTAAGGTTTGGTTCATGGTGATATTTCTCCTTCTTCCCTTTATCTTTTACTGTTTCTTCTTTGGTTATGTTTTATATTCTGTTACAGTTGGGAGTGCTTCTGTCATTTTTTGGTGTTGTTTTGTTTCCTTTTTAAGACAAAGTCTTGCTGTGTAACTTAGGCTGGTTTTGAACCTGAGATCCTCCTGCCTCAGCTTCCCCAATGCTGGATTTACAGGTGTGCGCCACCATGCCTGATGGTAGGGAGAATATCCTGTAATTATGTTTTATGCTTTTTCTATTTCACTCAATAAATATTTGTTTTACTGACTGTGGCCACCATTTTAGCTATATTCTGTTAGAACAAAAGTCTTAACTACCTTGAGAGTTAGCTGCTATATGTCAGAAGTGCAGAGATGACATCAAGAAAGTTGTGGGCAGAACATAAATGTGTAAAAGGTTACTTAGGGCTTGATAGGAAATCTGCAACTTGACTACAAATGAAAGATAGTGTAAGAGGTAAAACAACAACAACAACAAAAACATGGTACAGGTTTTTCTCTAGGTCAAAGGAGTCACGCTATTTTTTCCTGTTTTATAAATTTTCCTGATATTGAATATGAAGGGAAAGAGTCTTTCTTAGTCCTTGTTTTCCGTGAACTTGTGATATAAGAGACTGTTATAACAACTTAAGTATTGTTTTTCCATTTTCAGTAAACAGTCCTAATTACCAGTCAGTGTTAACATCCAGTTGTTAGGATCACACCTAAAAGTAAAGCAGCTTGTTTTAATAGTCTATGCAGTCTTATTGGGAGCTAGTACTGTGTATGTGGCTTGCTTTTAATCCTTTTGAAGTAGTTCACATAACCCGCAACTCCATTACTCCTTTTATGGACTTCTTGGCAGTTGGGAACTCTTGGTAGGGAAATGCTGTCTTAGAGTAGATAACCTGCCCCAGGAAGTAAATTAGCTTATAAAGAAATGAAACTGAAAGAGACAAATGCATATATAGGAAGGCTGTTTGGCAGTAACTTGTACTTTACAAATATGAAAGTGATACGTATCGTTTACAGCTGAGCAGCACTTTATTTTGTAAATGGTTTCATAAACAGCTTTTTGTGGGAAATAAGGCAGTGCTTCCCCTTCCCCCTCCCTCCCTTTGCACTGATAAAAAGTAGTTCAGACAAAGTTATTCAGAGAAAATAATGAATACATCTTGAGTAAGGAGTGTAAGAACTTCGGTTTACCCTCCAGGGGCCGATAATCTTTACTTTTTGAACTCATAGAGAAGCATTTGGAAATAACAGAACTGTCAGGTTAAGCTCCTAAGTGGTACTTTCAGGCCAGGAGGAATCATTTATTTGACCAGTTTATAATACTGGTTATATTCCTAGTGGTTATCTGTCCTCCTCCATGCCCACTTTTATGTCCTTTGAAAGACATAGATGAAGAAGAGACTTAGGTTTCTGTGTTATGAATGGTTTATCCCTTAGTAAGTTGGGTTGCTCTGTTGTTTTTCGTTAAACTGAGACCTAGAATAAGGTAGTGTAGAATGTCAGCTAGTTGGGTGGGGAATTGAATTGAAATGGTCACTCCCAGTGCAAAGTATTACTGGAGAATAATAAAGCAGGGCGCCCTTTTGTCCAGGACTTTGTCACAGTGTTTGCAATATCTTCTAAGGATATTCTGAAGACAGTGCCTAGTCAGAACCCAAGAAAGCATCCATTGAGCATTTCTGCAGCTTAGGTGGCTCAAAAGCTTTTTAGCATCGTTTTCTTTGCCACCATTCATAATTCACTTAGGTTGATGTCTGAATAGTTATAATTTGCTACCTGTCTTTGAATGTTTAAGCATTTTGTAGATCATAAGAATATGTATGCTTTTCTTTTTTATCCAAGTATTAGTATTTTTACTTTGCTTTTGTGGGCTCTGGGTTAGGTATTTAGTTGTGATAAACTTATTTGAAAGTTTTCCAATTAAGATCACCCTTATAATGACAATTACAGGCAATTTCATTCTATAAATCTTGACGTTACTGTATAACTAATAGAATGGCAGAGAAACAAAGGTTCTGAATAATTAGATGCTTAGGTAACTTTTCTGTATTTGTCTTTAAGATTTTCATAACTGGTAAAAAAAGATACTAGAAGCATTTAAACAAGGTCAATAGGAAAATTGGAATTTGAGGTATCTAATGTTTAAAATCTAGCGTATTGTATGTCATTTAAAATAGTAAGAACATTATCCTTTCAAGATAGGTATAAAGCTTGTCAAAACAAAACATAAACTTTATAAACATTGTAAACCTTATAAAAATTACAAAGCTTGAAGTTGAAAATTGAAAGCTAGAAATTTAAAATATTAATAGATAGGTTAAATATTTATCACCATTTTATATTATTTTCAAAGTGTGTTGTCTCTTAAATATTATATCAAATAAACCTTGAGCTGGAATGAGGTGGGCTTTTAGAGTCTCTTGGTCAGGTTTTGTGTCAAAGGAGGAAGATAGCAAGATGTGGCCCAGAGGATCCACATAGGTTAATAGAGACTAGCAAAGCGATGTGTCATCCAAGAAAGAAGTTCTGGGGGTGGGGAGAAGAAAGAAGGCAACACTTCTCAGTTTTTGGGGTCATGACTCCTTTGAATCCTTAAAAAGTACTAAAGGCCCAAGGATCTATAATGTTAGTTTTATTCATTGAGATTTATTATTAGAAATTAAAACAAATATTTAAAACATTAAATTCATTACAAGTTATGTTTGTGATTCATACGCACACATACACACCCACCCACACACACACACACAGGATCTTGTTGTGTGGTCCAGGTTGGCCTTAAAGTCACTATGTAGCCCAAACTGGCCCTCACAAGTGGCTGTCCTCCTGCTTCATTCAGACTTTTTTAAATTTTTTTGTTTTTGAGACAGGGTCTCACTATGTAGTTGAGACTGACCTGGACTCACTATGTAGCCCAGGCTGGTCTTGAGCTCACAGCGATCCTCCTGCCTCAGCCTCGCGAGTGCTGGGATTACAGTTGTGCGCCACCATGCCGGGCTCATTCAGCCTTTCTAATGCTGGGATTACAGGAGTATAACACCACACTCAGCTACTGTCTGGTGTATTGTTTTAGTTGAAAATAGTGTAAGCAGAGTTCAACTCTGCCACAGATATCTGGTTGGAAGAAAATATTTTAATAGCCATTTTAGATAACTGTGAATATTCCTTTTTGATACTCTACAATACCCTTTCTTGAACTTTGAATGGATGTTTTATTCTTGCATGATACTGTAACATGCATCGGTCAGCAGTTTACTGACATTTTCTAAGTGTTGATACATTGTACCGTAGTAAAACATTATATTCATTAATATTAGCATCAGTCTCATCAGAATACTCTTGGGAAGCTGTTAGTTCATGATGGCACATACAAGTGTTCCAGAATTCTAATTTTTTGCTTTAAAAGTTGAATTTTATTACTGACAATATATATTGTTCTTTTCTTTGAAATGACAGTCTTTCTCCATTCATATTTGAGAAAATTTGCCAAAAACCTAAGATGGAATAACCATTGTTGGTTATATGTTGAAGTAAAAATGATATTTCACTAATTTGGTTATTAGTTCATCCTAGATTTCAGTCAGACAAGTCCTTTTTCTTGAGTATTCTGCAGGAATGCTCACCACACTTCTGTTTCATCACTTGCAGAATTAAAAAGATGTATTCAGAGATCAAGATTTAATAAAAATAATTTCTGCACTTTCATCATAGATACTCTTTAGAATTTTTGTATCTTCTTTGTTCAGATTTGGTAATTCATATGAAGTTAGGAATCTGTCCATTCTGTGTTTTCCATTTTATTGGAGTATAGGTTCTCGAAGTAGGTATTGATGATCCTCTGGATTTCTGCTGGATCTGTTGTGATTTCACCCCTTTCATTCCTAATTGAATGGATTTGAGCCTTTTCTTTCCTTTTTTTTTTTTAATAAGGTTGGCTAAGGATTTGTTGATTTTATTTATTCTTTGGAAGAACCAACTCTTCGATTCGTTGATTTTCTTTCTTTCTGTCTGTCTTTCTGTCTTTCTTTTGGTATCATTCTCTTAGGCTCCATTGCATTGATTTCCTCTCTTGTACAAGCTGTGGATTTGTCTTGCTCTTCTTTTTCTAGGAGCTTGAGGATCAGCATTAGATTGTTTATTTGAACTTGCTCTGTTTTCCTATTATGGGTATTTACTGCTGCTATGAATTTCCGCTGCAGAACTACTTTCACTGTGTCCCATAGGTTCCTGTATGTTATACTGGCATTATCATTTAATTGTATAAATTGTCTAATTTCTTCTTTAATTTCCTCTGTGACCCATTGGTTGTTCAGGAGGGTGTTAGTCAATTTCCATGTGTTTGTGAAGTTCTTGTGGTTTCTTCTTTTTTGAGACAGGGTCTCACTGTATTGTTGAGACTGACCTGGAACTCACTATGTAGTCCAGGCTGGTCTCAAACTCACAATTATCCTCCTGTCTCAGCCTCCCAAGTGCTGGGATTACAGGTGTGCGCTACCACGCCCAGCCATGTGAAGTTCTTGTGGTTTTTTATGCTATTGATCTCCAGTTTAATTGCACTATGGTCTGATAATTTACAGGGGATAACTTCATTTCCTTTGTATTTACTTAAGCATGTTATATGAGCTAGCGTAAGCATAGATACTCTTAAGTGAAACTGACCTTTTCCCCCAAACACTGTGAGTATATAACTAGAGTCTGGCATCCTTGCTTTCTTTGTGCTAAGGTGCCAGCAGTGTTGCCCACCACTGTTTATACTGTTAGTGTGAAAGTCAATACAATAGAAAGAACAATCCATATCTTAGTATTCTTGTAGGAACAGTTTAGACCTGGGGTCTGTGAGTCCCACTTTGAGAACTATTGAAATAGATGCTTAGACCTACTGCATAGCATCTCTTCTCACTTATAGGATTTAGAGCATTCGTTGTAGGCAGTAACTGAGCTCAGATAAATATTGTTTCTTTTTTTGCACTTCTCAATATGGTGGTAGTTTCCATATAGAGTAACAAGTCATATTTATTTTATTTATGCAGAAGTTTACTAGACAATGACCTATGCAATGAAGTCATAAATCCAGTTGGGTTTTTTTTGTTTTGTTTTGTTTTGTTTGTACTGGAAATTAAAGTCAGGACCTTTATTTTGAGGCAGGGTCTCATTAAGGCTGGCCTTGGACTTGTCTTAAAAGAATGTTTGGTAAAAATGTTTAAAAAGTACTCAGTTCCTGTGGCTTCAGCTGTATTATCATTGAGATTGTAGTTTTTATTTTGGTACTGAAGATCGAATTTGGGTCCTTGTGCTTGTGAGGCAGGTGGCTGAACTACTGAGCTAAATCCCCGGCCTGAGATTGTAGTTTTAAAGCAGTGACTCCTCAAACCTCTTTGTACAAAATTGTTTTCCTTGACTTGAACCTACTTATTCTGCAGTTAATAGCTACGGGCATTTCCTAATACCTAGAAGTAAATGCCTCTTTGTTGAGTGAAAGCATATAATACTTAGTTCATTCATTTTTTAGAAAAAACTCAGTAGTGTGATGTTTTTTTAAAAATATCATAGTAGCTTTTTTTGGTAGTACTTAGTACTTGGTTTGGGTGATAGACCAAGGAGTTAGTAATAGTTATATTACTATATAACAAATTTAGCAGCCTAAGATGACAGATGTCATCATACAGTGGGTCAGGAATCTGCACAGTTACCCTGCGTTAACTGGAACAGGGCTTCTCAGGTAGGGAAGGTTTTGGCAGAGACTACAGTTGTCTCAGGGTGGACACACAGACATAGAATTCTCTCACAGAGTTGATGGCAGGATTGGTGTAGGGTGCTGGGCTAACCTGATGCCCCAGTTTAGCTTGTTACTGGTGAGAGGCTCTTTTCAGTTCCTTGACATTGGGCCTCTCTGTATGGTAGCTGGTTTCCAGCAAAGGGATTGATTAAGAAGGAAGAAACTGAATAAGGCAGATGTTGTCTGTTGGTAACCTACTTTCAGAGGTGACCTCTCATTACTTTTGTATTCCAGTTTTTAGAAGTGAGTCATTAAATCCAAGGAAGGGAATTCTACAAGAGGGTGTTTAAGAACGTCATGGCATGGATAAACAGATGGTGGCTGTACTAAGAATGGCTATCTCAAAACCCTGCTCCTGGGGCATAAAACTGAAGATAGACATAGCAGCCCTAAGTTGCTGTTCTATGTTCAGCCTTCTAACACTCCTTTATTCATTGTGCTACATTTAATAAGCATATTTTAGTAATTACATGCTGTGATACTGTCCAAAAAGAAATGGAAAGTTAGGGGGTAAATTTTAGATTTGCTTGCTAGGAGGGGAAATCTCAAAGTTACTTCTGTAATTGTGCTACTCAGAAGAAAAGAATACTTTCAGTAAATCTAGAAAAACTTTTTAGCATTTATAAGGATTTAGAGACATGTATTCCTTGGTTTAGTTTTTTTTGTTTTTGTTTTTTGGTTTTTGAAACAGGGTCTCACTATGTAATTGAGACTGCCCTGGAACTCACTGTGTAGCCCAGGTTGGTCTCAAATTCACAGCTATCCTCCTACCTCAGCCTCCTGAGTGCTGGGCTTACAGGCATCCACTACCACACCCAGCTAGTTTTTAAGATTTAGAATTGGATCTCTAGATATTAAAAATGTAGCTTTATTATATTAAAAGTAAAAAGTAGTATAGCTTGAGTCTATAAACTGTATGTTAAGGTTGGGATTTTTTAAAAATTATTTTTGCTCTTTGGGACATTTATGATTTCTAGATTTTAAACTTTTTTCCCTATAAGTTTATTGGTGCATTTTCGGTATACATTATGATCACATTCATCATTGGGATCTGTGCTTGTCATCTTGGATCTTGTTTTTTCCTATTTCCCTTCCTGTTCCTTCCACCTAGATTATAAAATTTCTGAAAAAAGGTGAAAGCTGGAGAATTCAGGCCTTGATAGACCTTTCTTTGTGAAGGAAGGAAGCCTGTCCATCTGGTATTAGAATATTTTTTAAAAATCAAACTTTCACAATGTATTCTAGTTTTCAGTAATACTATTTGCTCAATAAAGTGCTTCTATTTTATTTTATACTTAAAGTTATGTGACATGGAACTGACAAAATTAAACTATAAAACTAGCAACTTTTAAAAAAATCCATAAAAAGCAATTTGGTTCTCCCCAAATGGATTTTAATGTGTTACTTTTTTCCTCCTGATCATTTTACTTTAATCCACCATCACCTTGCCACTCAGTGGTGTGGTTCATTGCATATCAGGTTGTCTGTATGTAATGTGTTTACCGTCGCTGTCTCTCTCTACCAGGAATCTTATCCATCTTCTTCACCCATATGGTTTGTGGACTCTGATGACCCAAATCTGACATCAGTTCTGGAACGTCTGGAAGATACGAAGAACAATTCGGTGAGAAAATAAGCCAAGCTACTTTCTTTTTTTCTCATGAATGTTAGATATAAAACAAGTGTTAGAAGGTAATGTGATATAAAAGCATGATTAATCTTTTTTGTTGTTGTTTTTTTAAGCATGATTAATCTTAAGAGAGGTTAAAGATCAGGGGTTGGTTTTTGTTTTTTGTAATTTCTTCCCAGGTTCTATTTATTTTTTTTGTTATTTCTCACAGGAGTAGTCTTACTTTAGATTAGGAAATGTAGGAATCTCTCTTCCCTAAATTCTAACTGTTACACCAAGCAGGCATTTTTTTTTTTTTGTCCTGTGGATCCAACTTGGGACCTTGCCACCTGCCTTGCAGCACAACTGAGCTAAATCCCCAGCCCAAGCAGGCATTTTTGGTAGTGAGCACTAGCCAAGATGGTAAATATAAAGAGGGAAAAAGACCAATATAGATATGAAGGAGAATAATGATAGAATAACACTGGTGCTAGTTATGGAGTTGCTTTTTCTGTCAGGGGACTGTAAATATGCAGTAAAAGCAAAAGTATTCAAATGGAAAGTTTGTTTTGCTTTTTAATATATAGTAGTTTCTCCTTATCTATGGATGATACGTGCAAAACTGCCTGCCAGTGGATACCTGAATCTGTGGATAGTACTGAAACCTATATGTGCTGTTTTTTCCTAACTTACCATATGTATGATAATTTAATTTATGCATTAGGTACAGTAAAATCTTGATAGGGCCAGGAATTTAGCTGAGTGGCACCAAGCCTGCTTTGTAAGCACAGGGTCCTGAGTTTGATCCCTGATATGGGGGGGGGAATAAGATATTAATAACAACAATAAAGTAGAACAATATAACAAATACTGTAATAAAAGTTATTCAAAACTTATGAATTGTTTCTTTCTGAAATTTTTCCTTTAACTTTTTTTTTTTTGGTACCAGGGATCGAACTCAGGTCCTTGTGCTGGCCAGGCAGGCGGCGGAACCATTGAGCTAAATCCCTGGCCCCCCTTTAACATTTTTTGAACCATGGTTGACCCTGGGTAATTGAAACTAGAATGTGAAACTGGAGAGAATTAGCAATTACTGTGTAAAGAAAAATAATCTTTCCATTTTATAAAAATATAAAAGCTTTTTTTCTTTGAATATGAACTGCTAAGTGTCCATTGTGAGAAAACTGGTAAAATATAGACAAGCCAGAAAAAAAGCAAAATTAAAATCCCATAGTTTCTTTACGTAATATAACCATTATTGATATGTTTATTTTTACAAGTTTTTTTGTTAGTAAAATAACAAAATACACATTTAACATGTATTACATGTTTAACACATGTTTAACTAGTTGAAGTATTTATTCTATATGTCTTATATTGTTGTAAACATTATTATTGCATTTTCCTATAGTGTCATAAAATCCTTACATAAAAATAACAATCGTTATTTCCAGGGGATATGATAGCTTGCCAAAAAACAAAAAAATTAAAAACTAACTGGAAAAAAAACCTAATTTTTAAGACAACTGGTTAAAATCTATTATATAAAAACCAGTAGTATTCCCAAATTTCAGCTGTTGTTAGTAATTACAACAGAAAAAAACATGTAGGAATAAACTTAGATGTTCTGGACTTGTATCAAGAAAACTACAAAATTTTGTAATGTAGAATAAAAGATTTGGATAGTATATTTCTAGATGAACAGACTACTATGTTATAACTATGTCAGTCATCTCCATATCTTCATATTCATCTATAAATACACTGCAATGCAATAAAAATCCCTACAGTTCTATTTTAACAGAAGTGACTCTATAAATTTGTTTAGAAGAGCAAGTAAAAAATAAAAAATTTAAAGAGAGGCTTTCCTAACCAGATTTGTTTTTTGTTTGTTTGTTTTTGTTTTTGTTTTTGTTTTTGTTTTTGTTTTTGTTTTTTGAGACAGGGTCTCACTATGTAGTTCACACTACTCTGGAACTCACTGTGTAGCCCAGGCTGGTCTCGAACTCTCAGGGATCCTCCTGCCTCAGCCTCCGGAGTGCTGGGATTACAGGTGTACGCCACCATGCCCGGCTGACTGCTGCCTGTTTTAAAAGCTTTTGAAGACCTAATGATTCTACTTTTTTTTTGAGACAGGGTCTCAGGCTAGTCTCGAACTCACAGCGATCCTCCTGCCTCAGTCTCCTGAGTGCTGGGATTTCAGGTGTGTGCCACCATGCCTGGCGATTCTATTTTTAAAAAGCAGAAATAAGTGGAGTTATTTTTCATTGTCTAATGGTTACATAAAAAATACTCAAGTAGAGTATAAAATCAGACCTAATTTTATATAAATAGTAAATATTTTTACATGAAGAAAACCAGCTCACCTTTCATTCTATTTTTATACTTTCTGCCAGTTTCTCATAGCTTACTTTCTAGAGGCAATACATGGTAAGGTTTTGTGTTTTTTAAAAAATATTTAATTCCTTAACTCATGATCTAGATTCTGCCTTCATTGTTTCATGAAAATTTATCTGCTGGTTTTTCAATCCATGGTTCCTTTTTTAGTCCCCAAATTGCTCCCTCTGCAACATTTTGATACTGGTGATTATTTCCTTGGTGAAATATTCTTTCATTCAACATTTATGATTTAGTATCCATCAATAAAGAGTTGGTTAAATATAAGTTAGGATGTATAGTTTTATTATAGAATTCATGCTAAGGTTCTGAAAGTCCCGGGCCAAGCCCTGATTCCCCACCTCACTTTCCTTATGTATTTACCATGAAACAGCTTATCAGAAAGATAACCAGCCACACTGTGGCTCTTGCTTCCTTTTAATTGGGAGGATTTTGTTTTATTCTAATTTACTGTTCACTTTGGAAAGCTTGTTCTTTGCTTGGTTTAACCCATTATAATCTTGTGTCTGTTTTCTTAGTCCCTCACAAACTTGCTTGTTCCTCTTCAACTCTTTTTCTGGCCAGACACATTCAGACAATTGTTTCTGACCTAGTGAAGTTGTCTTGTTAGCTTCCGTTTGTGTCTACTAAGTGTTGCCCGTTCTTTTTTTTTTTTTAATTTATTGGTACAATCTAGGTATACAATACAGTTACATTCATCATTGGGATCTTGTACCTTTACATAATAGGTCTTAATTCTCATTTTTCCCCCTTGTCCCTGCCCTCCCTTCACCTCCTCCTCCCCTCCCCATTTACAAACACTTTATTTCCATTTTTTCAGTTTCTCATATTTTTTTCCTCTCCCTTATTACCTTTCCCCCACCCTTCCCACTTTCCCTACACCTTTAGCCCATTCTTAATTGTAATTGTTATGTATTTAAAAAATTTTAAACAATGAAAAACATGTTTATATCCATGATTACCTTCCTAAAAGCAAAGGTATTTAAAGAATAATCTGGCTTTAAAAATGGAATTTAAGGAACTAGTTTTGGCGGTTTTCCCAGTGAAATTCCCCAGTTCCTGTCCTTGCGTTAAATTAAGCACGAGGTGTTTTCACAGAAAGTTTCATTTAGTCTTTACCATTCTGAGAAAGTTTCAATTTGTTTTACAGATAGGGGGACTCAAGCTCAGGAAGTTAGTACCATAGCCAAGGTCATCTATATTCCAAGACTGTCTACTAGATCACATTTTCTTCTATACTTTTAAATGAATCTGACTGTAACATATGTAATTTTATTATCTATATACAACAGCATTTCCTATTTTTATAGTCTTATTAAATGCATTAATGTTATCTGAAGTTGTAAGTTTCTAAGAAAAGAAGTTAACTAGAAATTAATGCATAGAACTTGTTCCTCTGCCTTTTTGTTGCTATCATTTTTGTAGGGGTTATACCTAAGCCATAGAAATGTTTTCCCCCCTTGATAATTTTCTTGTACTAGCAGCACTTAAAAATATTCGAGAGTGTGATTCTATCCCTAGGCTTCAGTTGAGCAGTAACAGACTTTTTCATTTCCTTTTGGATTGATTGCTGTAGTTGTAAGCGTTATTCGTGTCTTCTAAAGGCTCTTTAATGTAATGCTTATTTACTGAAATGTGTTTTGTAGCTTCGTCAGCAACTGAAGTGGTTGATATGTGAACTCTGCAGATTATATAACCTCCCTAAGCACCTGGATGTTGAGATGCTAGATCAGCCACTACCCACGGGTCAGGTAAAGTAAAAATTCTCCAGTGTTCAAGAGCTGAAATAAATTGTCTCAGTGAAAAGTGAAACGAGGATACTTGTTCATTTTATTGTTATTCAGCTTATTTAGAAGTTAGTTTTTTGTGTGTTTCTATTGGATTGCTTTGTATTTTAGGTACTAAAAATAACCTTTCATTCTTGGGAAGTGCTTGTATTTACTGTAAAAGGCAAACAACTGCTCTCCCACCCCAGTGTTTTGTTTTTGTTAATAGTTCTGGTTTCTGTAAAAAGTTACTGCATCTTGGATTGTTGACTTTGCTTATTCAGTTACCTTCACCTGGGTGCCAGAATCGAAAGGCATGACCAAATGCTATGAATTCCAGCAGACAATGTGAATTTCCAGTAGCTTCTACTACCTTCTAGGTTTATGTACTTAGCTTTTACTCTTGTGAAGATTTAGCTGTTATACCACAACTTACCTCTCCTAAAATCTTATGTTTAGTTATATGAATAATCACTGGTTTATCACCAGGACTTTGCAGGGTAGAGCCAGGTTTTTCTGTTATATTCCTTTCCTATATAGCCTTTTGTTTTTTGGTGTCATCTTTATACTAATAATTCATAGTGTAAAAAAATTATGTTTAATCCCTTTCTGTGATCCTTGTCTCTTGACGCTTCTGCTGTAGCTGTCTCCTTGGGGTTTTTCTCATATGCTCTCCTGTGTACTGGCTCTCACATCGCCTTTCTTGGCTTAGCCTTCTCATATTGCTTGAGTACATCCTTAAGTAAAAGCCTGTGGCAGCATGAATGAATGGTACATTTCCTCAGTTCTGAGATACTGTAATACAGACCAAATTGTAGGTTTAGGAGCCAGACCACAGTGGATTTGAATCTTGGTTCTGCTGTTTATTAGCTTTTACCCTCAGGCTGATCATGTCCTCATTCTGTGTGTCATTTCCTATTGGAAAATAGGGGAAATAACAGTAGTAGTACCTCTGTTTTGGGGAAACTGTGAGGATTGAATTAATTAAATACCTATGTATTCTATGCTGCTTATTCATATTTTTCTTCTTTTTATATACCCTTCCTCTTTTATTCACTCATCAAGAAGTGCTGTGGCCAGTATTTCAACGGATATATTTTTGGGAGAATTTATTCTGACTCCCAGCTGTTACCCCTTCTCCTTTTATGTCCCAGCAGGAATAAATGATGACTGGAACCATTCAGTTTTTCTGGAGATGATGTCTTGTGCATTTTGTTTGAGTTGGATATGTCTGCCTGGGTTCTGCTTGAGGAGATGGGAAAACTGTTTCAGGGCTGGGTAGTGTGTCCTGTGGCTTTTTTTCATTTCTGGTTTTTAGTTGTGTCTATCCCTCCATGTACCTGTCCAACATACCTGGGGTCTCAGTCTGGAGCCCCTCCAGGGTGCTGTGGGACAAACTGGCCTCCTTATCATCCTTGTCCCCTACCTGTGACTTCACTAATTATGATTCTTCTATTCACTGTCATTTTCTAGTGTAGGTAAATTCTCTTTTCTGCAGGTATCCTTATTCCTTTATTATTATTATATGTTTATACAGTATGTGTGTATTCTTCACTGTAACTTTAGTGGAACCTCAGAGAAGAGCGAGAACAAGAGAAACATATGTTCTGTGTTCAGTTTTTCTTCCCTAGATGTCTACAACTTGTGCTTTTCACTTCATAGTTTGTCCTGGACAGAATACTTGTAGAGATCCACATTGTTTTCATGATTGTGATGAAGTTCTGCATAGGCATATCACAATTTACATGACAAAATATCCTAATTTTGAATCATTTGGAATGGATATGATATTTTATTTTGCATTTTTACTTCTATGCCAAATGAGATTGTAGTATAGTTTTATTTACTTATAGACTCTTTGTGTGTGTGTGTGTGTGTGTGTGTGTGAGGGCCATGGCTTGAGAAGCTTTATATCTTTTTTTCTGATATAAATTAAAACCAGTAATTTTCAACCAGAGGCAGTTTTGTCTACCACAGAACATCTGGAAGTATGTGGAGCCTGTTTTGGCTGTCAGGGCTGACCATGGGAGAGGGATGCTCTGGATGTTTCATGGATGGGATGTTATTAAACATCCTGCAGTGAACCTTCCACAGCTCAAAACTGTCTGGTCCATCAGTATTGGTAGTCTTTTCCTTAATTTTCTCTAGTTTTAGCATGCTTTTGTGAATTCTCATCTAATTAGAGTTTAATGTTGTGTTTTTGAGCTTCATTTGTCATGTGATAGGTTTTCTTTCATGCTTTTATTTTGCGCAGCATTATATGTGAAATTCATTCATATCATGTTCTTTTTCATTGCTCTATTTATTCCACTGTTGGAATATACCGTAACTTTTTTTTTGGTGCTGCCAGGGATCAAACCCAGGACCTGACACACTCCAGGCAAGTACCCTACCACTGAGCTGCACCCAACGTATGAATAGATAAGATAACATCCATTCAGCTATTCATAAACATTTGGGTTGACAGTATTTATGTATTAAGAAGAGTGCTACTATGACTCTTCATGCTGTATCTCTTGATACCTCTTTTATGGGTATTTCTCTGGGGCATTTCCTTAGGAACTGATTTACTAGGGCATGAGGATCCACTTCTTTAACCCAAGGATTATCTAGAGAAAGGTTTCTTTGGAGGGGTGGATGGGACAGGTTCACATTTGTAGCTGGGCTGGCCTGGAACTTATTTTGATTCTCCTGCCTCAGTCTCCTGAGTGCTGGAAGTATAAACATGCACCACCACACCCAGTTCTTAAGAACTTTTTAAATTTTCAAGTGACTTTTGGGCTACTACATGTTTGGCAGTATTGTCAGAGAATATGGCTGTGCCCTCTCAGACTGTCTGATCAGCAGTTAGCTAGAAGTGGCCATTGGTGCTACTGCTGGTTTTGTTTATTGCTATTCCTCTTACCATCCCCATGTCCCTCCCCACCATCCCCCACATGCATCCTTGAGTAGTACTGTCTTGTTTTTTTTCCTAGAATGCATTTGTTTGTGGGGATGTGTACAGTAAGTGTGGAGAGTGGTACTTAGTACTTGCTGTTTTTATCATTCAACAAATGTCTTGATTCCATATATAGCAGTCTGTGTTGGTGTGGAGGACCCCCAATGGTGAACAGACACAGATAGTTTTTGTCTCAATGAAGCTAAAAAGAATTCTCAGTTCACAATTGAATCTTCTTCTGGTTCTTTATACATTTATCTCTGGCATCTGCTGTTATAGATGGAATGTCTGATGCCCAATTCTTGCTTCTCTCTCTATATTCTTTCTTTCCTATCTGAAGGTTGGTATAGTTTTCTCTACAACTGTAAAGTCTGGGTTTTGCCTTTCCATGTCCCTTTGAGGCATCCAGAACCACATGATGTTTTGTAATCTTTCTTTAGCTTGGCAACATTTGTCTCTTTTATTCCTTCCCTTGCATCCTCTGAATGAATATTAGATCTCTTATATTCTTATTATCCATGTTCATTAACTATTCTCTAATTTCCATCTCTTCTGTTTTTTTCCTCCACATTCTAAATGAATGTCACAATTTGGTCTTCATCATAAATGCTTTGTTCAGTCAAGTCTTCATGCTCTCTGGCCTTTTTACTAAATTTTTCTAGCCTTTTTCCTCTTCTTAAAATTCTGTTTTTTTATTTCCCAGAACTGTCTTGTCCTTCACAAAGCAATCTGTTTATTATTTTGTGGATGTAGTGGGTTCTCAATTACCTCTAAAGATTCCAGTTAGATTTTTAAATTGTTTTATTTCCTTCATTCAGTTTTGGCTTACTGCTCACCTTTCAGGTTGTCAGTTTTCTTCAGCTGCCTTTGTTTGTCTACTCATTTGTTGATGTGACACAGTTGTGTATGGGGTTCTAGCATGGGTGCCATGCCCTTCCCCATGGGTCTGCAGACCTGCGATGAAGATGGAGAGGAGCTAGCAGGTGAGGCGTCCAATGCCTGAGGAAAAGGAAAAGACAGTCTATGGAGAGATTTGCTGCTGTGTCGAGTGCTATTTAACATGTTCTTTTTTCTCACGGGTTCTGGTCCTATAGTAAGAGGCTGTCAAGATAGGCTTTCCTTAGAAGAGAGTGATCCTTACCAACTGAATTTGGGACAAGTACAGCAAAGAATGTGTGATCCATCTGAGAAGTCACCCTCCTACTTCTCTAGCAGTCCTTGCCATTCTCTGGACCAGAAGTAGCTTTCTTAAGACCAGCAGCCTGCTTGCGTCTGCTGTCTTCTGCCACGTAGTTTTGTTTGACCATTTGTACCCTTCTTGTGTTTGTTGTTTTTCTAGTTCAGCAATGAATTTATCTTTTCTAGTAAAATTCTTCTGTTATTTCACTGGGGTTCTGAAAAGGCCAGGCCACATTTTGAAACAAAGCTCATCTTAGGATTTCACAACCCTCACTGGCCCTGTATTTTGGTTAAATTACTTTTGAGGGTGGAAGGTAGTTTGCTCAGTTTGGGGTTTTTGTTTTTGCTTTCATTTGTAAAGTAAAAGACAGAGACTAGTTTAGTCACAGACAAGGCTACATGTCAGAATCACCTCAAAGAGCGTTTTTTTTGTGGGGGGGGTACCGGGGATCGAACTCCGGTCCTTGTGCTTGCAAGGCAGGTGCCAGAACCACTGAGCCAAATCCCCTGCCCTCAAAGAGCTTTTTGAAAGGATTTTCTGGGGAGAGTTCTGAAACTAGCATTTTAAAAATGCTCTCTCAGTCATTCATTGATGAGCGCACACTTGGATTTGGACTTTTAAGCTAAGCATGTTCTTTAGATACCAGAAACAGTCTGGTTTAATTTAGTGAAATGAAGAAAGGGTGAATTTCAGCATTTTGGGAGCTGCTGCTTGGTTCCTTTTCTCATTTAGTTTCTAGGAGACAAATAATAAATATCTAAGACCATGCAGATTTAAAACAAATACAAGTCTATTCTTCATGGGTGTGTGTGCCCTTTATGAAAATTTCTAGCTGACCAATCTAGAAGAGTTATATCTTTTTAGATAATGATTTTCTTCTCAAGAATTGCATACTCAGGAGGTTCTAACAGATGCTTTGTTACTGCTGAGATCTTTGTCTGATGTGATCTCTGGATCTTTGAGATATTCTAGCTCCTTCCTCGGCTCACTTTTATGGTTAAAGATGCGTTTCTAGGAGAACTGTGTGCTTGGGCCCAGCAAACTTGGCCTTTTGAAATATGCCAGAACTGAACATGAAGGTGCTTCCTAAAACCCTATCAGATTCATTTGTGATGAGCAGTAAGTTATGTCTTACAGAGAAGTGTTCTGTAGTAAATAACATGGTTTGAAAAAGAACATTGGTTCTTAAGTGTGATTATTTTTTAATTTTTAGTTTTTATGAAGTGCCTTTTCCTTAATAACACGCCTGACCTTTTCACATGTAAGGCAGTTGAATTTAAAGATTCAATCTTTTCAAGTTAAAAAGGTAGATACTCAAGGAGTCAATAGCTTGGAATATTTATTATAAACAAAATTGTATTTAAAAGACTTTTTCAGTTTTGCTTTGTATTTGTGTGATTACTTTTGTTTATTTGTAAGTCATCTGTTAAGCTGAATTCTTAAAAAGTTAACTTTTGCCAGGGGATTTAGTTCAGTGGTTCTGGCATCTGCCTTGCAAGCCTAAGGACCCAAGTTTGATCCCCAGTACCAAAAACAAAAAACAAAAAACTTAACTTAAAAAGAAGCTGATAAATCTTACTTGTCAAATGAAATCTGGATTTGGAAATGAATTTTTTAATTTTAACAAGCTCTCTGTTAATGGAAGGTGGTAACAGGTGATTGTTAGTTTATCTTGCAAGCTGTGGCCCTGCTCCTCTGAGTACTCAGCGTGTGCACATTTGTTATGTGGATCCCTAGCAGGTTGCTTTCCGTTTCAGAATGGGACGACAGAAGAAATGACTTCAGAGGAGGAGGAAGAGGAAGAGATGGCTGAAGTAGGTATTTATGTAACAATAACATTTTATAGATGTCTGCGTTTTTGGACATTGTAGTAATTCACTGATCTTTTAAAATTAAAGTTAATGTAGAATAATGAAAAACACATGGTATTTGGAGTGAAATATAATTCTGAATACTGGCTTTATCTTTTAATTATTGATGAGCTTTTGAACAGATAATTTATCTGAATTCCTTGAATTTGATCTCCCAGAAATTAAAAGCTTTTTAACAATTGGTAATAAAGTTATACTTGCATTTAATAGTAATCAGTATTTAACTTATATTTGGTCATTTTTAGGAAAAACTACTAAGTTTAAAAAGTTCTGCATTTGTCTTTTCTTAAAAAGAACAAGTAATTTATTTTGTTTTATGCTGCTGTAATTAGAACACTTGATTAGATAATTTGTAAAGAACAGAAAGTTAAGCCAGGCAGTGGCTCATTCCCATAATACCAGCTACCTGGGAGGCTGAGGCAGAAGGGTAACAAAACCCTGTCTCAAAGTAAAAAATTCAAGAAAGTGCTGGTGAAGTAACTCAGTAGCCATAGTACTTACCTAGCATGCCTCAGCCCAAGAGTTCAATTCACTGCCTGGTTCTGAAGGCTGGGAAACCCAAGATCAAGATGCTCTCTTGGTGTCTTTTGAAGGCTGTTTTGAAGGGATAATAGAGCAAGGTAGCCAGAGGCTATTGGGAGCCTCTCACAAGTGCCTTAATCTCATTTCTGAGAGAGGAGCCCTCTGGCCCAGTGGCCTCTTCATGGTCCACCTCTCTACCATCATGTGACAACACCTAAGTCTGGAGAGGGCACATTGAGATCACAGAAAGCTTAGTAGAACAGATTCTGCTGACATGGAGTTAGCTGTCATTGGTACAGCTTCAGAGGTTTCCAGGCTCTAAAGCTTTGCATTTAATGAAAACTTGAGAAGGGAGATCTGTTTCTGTGTTGCCAGATTAAAAGTCTTCATTTTTTGTTTGTTTTTTTGAGACATGGTCTCACTATGTAGTTCAGGCTGGGCTTGAGTTTACTATGTAGCAAAGCCTAGCTTTGAACTCACAGCAATACTCCTGCCTCATTCTCTCATGTACTGGGATTACAGGTGTGCATAACTATGTGTGGCAGGAGATTTTAATTATAAAACTTTTTTTTTCTATTTTGGATCTTAATTGAGGCTTTTACCTTATTTTCTTTATTTAAAATATTTTAATCTAATAAACACTTTCAGAATGCCTCAACTAGAGAAGCAGTAGGAGGTTTATTTGGTGAATCTGGGAATAAAATAATTTTTATAATTGTCCACTTAGAATGACATTTAAAATAGACAGTTTGTATTTGCGTTTTATTAACCCTTTTCCATGGGTCTTCTATACAGTGAAGAAGACATTATACTCAAAGTTCACATACCTTTCCTTTTTTCTCATGAAAAACAAGGGACAGCAGCATTTAGGGCACCCTAGAATAGTTGGAAACTGGACTTCGGAGGTGACTGATTGGAGTGGGTAAAAAGGTGCTCCAGGCTGCAAAAATTAATGTGGAGAAGCCCCCAACAGCCTTGGGTGTGTGTGATGTGTATTGGTGCACTGGGTGTTGTCCCTGCAGTATGGGAACGTGAGGTGTTAAGAGTTGTGGAAAGCAAGGTTGGCTAAAAAGAGCAGAGAGGTAAAAGTTTGGAATTAGAGACAGACATTTCCATTCATTGTCAGTGTTGCAAGGAAGGCAGAATAGTGTACTAAGAATATTGTTTTAGAAAGGTAATGATCAACTATTTAGGAATGTGTAGATTAGGCTTCAAGTGGAGTTTTGTCAATGGCAGCATGACTGAGGGTGGAGATGTAGGGAACAGACTGGCCAAGGGCATTCCTTGAAGGAAACAGAGTAGGCAGGAAGACCAGGGCTGAAAGGTGCTTGCCAGCAGAAATCAGTGCGACAGGGCCAAGGAAATGGCATCCCAAGAAGACTGCTGAGTGAGGGAGAAGGTGGTCCTAGCCTGGTCTAGAAATCACAGCAAATTAGTCTGCTTTGAAAATGGAGATAATAAAGTATTCCTTCAGAGATTTTGGCAGTTAAAGCAGAGAGAAGTAAGGTACTTGAAAAAGTTAAGATTCTTAAAATTTTGTGTAGATTTATATATGATGATATGGTAAAGATGTTGGTCTAGGGGTATTATTCAAGTTCTTTTTCTAACTTTTTCCTATAAAAGTAAATTGGTATTTACTACAGAAAACTTGGAAAGCACTAAACATATGTTCCCAGAGAAAACAGTTATAGAATAAATCTCTTGTTTTAGTTTTATTTGATAGGGTCTTACTAGGCAGTTCAGGCTGTTCTTGAACTCAATATGTAGCTCAGGCTGGCCTTGAACTCTGGTGATACTCCTGCCTCAGCCTTCCGAATGCTGGGATTTCAGGAATGTACCACCACACTCGGCTGGTCTTTCTTCTTCAATGCAATTATTTTGGCATAATCAGGATTCTGTATATTTCATTTTCTATTTTTTATTTTGATTTTTTTATTGATAAAAGAAGAAAATGCTTAAGCTCTGCTGATATTTTAATGGCTTCCTAGTATTCTATTGAATTAAATGTTTTGCTGGTTTTTGCACATGCAGATTTTGTGTTTGCTTTTATGGTTATCAGGATGAAATAGGCATTGTTGTGCCTATATTTCTGTTCACATTTATTAGAAATCATGTTTCTAGAACATAGTATAAATAGTTTAGGTACTTGATACCTGCTGCTAAGTTGTTTGAGAAGGTCCTTGTAATAAATGGGAGACTTAACAGATGGCATATCTGATAATAATTTTGACCTTGTAAATTTATTAAATCTGCCTTATTGTGAGTCTAGCTTTTAAAGAAAATATAGACTGTTGGGGCTGGGGGTTTAGCTCAGTGGTTCTGCCTCCTGCCTCGCAATCACTCGGTTTTGAGTTCGATCCCCGGTACCAAAAAAAAAAAAAGAAAGAAAAAGAAAGTATAGACTGTTGAAGGAGAAAATCTTTTGTATTGAATATGGAGAGTTTTTGCCCCTCCCTGTAGAATAGATTCACCATCCTCTCTTTCTTGTTCCCTTTTTATTCCATTTCAGAATAATTTAACTTTTGGCATGAGAAACTACTAAAGAAAAATAACTCAAATAAGAATGTTTTCCCTTTTCTAGGATGTAGAAGACTTGGATCACTATGAGATGAAGGAAGAAGAGCCTATTAGTGGGAAACAGTCAGAGGATGAAGGAATTGAAAAAGAAAATTTGGCAGTATTAGAGAAAATTAGGAAGACTCAAAGACAAGACCATTTGAATGTGAGTATGTGTAAATACCTAGAACCTGGACTTCAGTGTTTAAGTAGATACCGGGTAACACTGGACAGATTACTCAGATACCCATTGCAGCTGCCCCTCTTACACCCCTGCCTCAGAGGTAGATTCAGTGATATGTGCTATTGCCTTGGGTACCTCTCCTCTCTTGACATCTACTTTCTATCCTGTTCATCTCTTCATGTCCTGGGACCCTTCTGCTGCTCCCCCTTGACTGTCTCCTTCCTACCTCTGCCTGTTAATGCTGTATTCTTTACTTATCTCCCCTAGTGGGATCCATACATTCAGAGCCAGACTCTCCTACAGTCTGTTCAGATTTTTTCCTCTGTGAAGTTGACCTTGGGCCTGTCCTGCCCTGACGAAACCCAAAAGTCACTTTTCTCTTTTGGCTTAATAACTGTCATGTGCAGCACCTAGGAGTGTGGAACAGTTTGGTGACAGACACTGTGGGGCTTCTGTTTTCTCAACTCTACGTGTAGACAGACACTGCATACCTTTTGGGTAACTACTGCAATAAATGAGAATGTGTGTGTGTGTGTGTGTGTGTGTGTGTGTGTGTGTGTGTGTGTAGAAATATGTATGTAAATACACTATATACATATGTATAAACAGTGCCCAGAGAAGAGACACATCGAATGCCATTTTGGCTGTCTCCTCACTTAACACTTCTGCCTTCTCCTGGAGCCACATATCAGCTCCCTCAAGTCCAGGACCCGTTGCTTTGTCTTGGACAAACCCAGGAAATGTATTGTTTTGTGAGTAAGTGCCAAGAGCACATTATTTTCTCTGCTTCAGTCTTACTATATTAATTTAATTGGCAGATCTTTTTTTTTTCTTGGGTACCAGGGATCAAACTTGGGCCCTTGCACTTGTGAGGCAGGTGTGGGAAGCAGTGAGCTAAATCCCCGGCAGGTCTTTTTTTAATATAGAAAAATAATGTAGCCAACCTAGTATCTTAATAAAGATTAAAATAAGTTTGTGATACTTGAATCAATATTTTACCATACTTGCTTTCTTTTGATTAGTTCCAGTTTGTATGAATTATGGTCAGAATAACTACAAGTTATTAAACACTTTCAAATGATAAACATAATGCTTAATATTTTATATGTATTTTCTAGGTCTTTTCATTTAATCTTTTTTTTTTTTTTCTCGGTACTGGAGATTGAACTCAGGACCTTGCATTTGCCAGGCAGGCGTGGTGCCACTGAGCTACATCCCTGGCCCTTCATTTAATCTTTGTAACCACTGTATAAAATAGATGTTCTACGTATTTTGTAGATGGGAAAGTTAAACCAGTTCAAGGTTATATAGCTAGGAAATATCTTTGTAGGCTATTTTTTCCCCTCACAGTAAAATGTAGCTCTTAAAATCTTTAATTTTACCTGATCAAAAATAGTTCCATATTCAGTTTTAGGATGAGACATACACTGACAAGAACTGAAACCAGTTGCATGAAGGCAAACATGTATTTCATTTTTTTAGTATGTAAACTAGACCGTCAGTATAACATTCTTGCTTAGTCTTATTAATGGAACTGTTTCAGTTAATAATGTGCTATAGTGAAGGTCTTCTAGTATTTTCAAAAATTAGAGTTTGGAATAGACTCATACTGAATTCTAGAATATCACAGAGTCCATGATGGTCTGGATGTGTTAGCTGGACACCTCCCCTCCCAATAAACAGTAAACAAACCAGACTTTTATGTTCCTCTTGAAACTTCATAATCTTTCATTTAATTGAATTTCTTCAATTACTTAAAATGCTGAGTGGTGATCCATTTTTATAACCTTTTTGTAAACTTTATATCAGGTTCAATGACTTTGAATCTTTAATGACTTAGGAGACCCTGTAAACAGCAGGTTTTCTGTTTCAGGGTGCAGTGTCTGGGTCTTTGCAAGCTTCAGATAGACTTATGAAAGAGCTCAGGGACATATACAGATCACAGAGTTACAAAACAGGTAAGGACCACCGGGTCCCTGCTGTCTATATTCTGCTGCTCTTTGCTGTTTTCAAATAATGTCATTCCTTGTAACTGGACAGCACTGGAAATAGTTATTAATTTTATTTTAAGGATGTTGAAACTCAAATTTAATCAAATTCCAGAAGCTATAAGAGGTAAAATAGGATGTTTGGATTTTTTTTAAATCAGTGTTTTTATAGATACATCATAATTTTTTCCCTTCCTAATATTTAACTCATAAAATTTTTATCTTCCGGCAAAAGCATGAGTAATGCTGCTTTGTAAAGTAAGTAGGGTTGAAAAAAAAAAAAAATATGGTACTGGGGATCAAAGCAGGCGGTGGAAACATTGAGCTAAATCCCAGGCCTGGGTTGATATATTTTATTGTAGAAAGAAAGAACTATTGCTAAATTGATTTTATTTTGCCCTTTTTTTCACAACATAACAAACCCCTGAAAGGGTAATTATGGTATTACTTTTAAATAAACTAGATGGATTTTAAACATTTTTAATTAAAAAAATTTTTTTTGCTATTTTATGGTTTAAGAGTATTATTACCTACTGAGACTTAAAATACTGTGGAGACTCTCTAATTAGAGGAAAACTCATATTGTTAGAGTGCTAAATAAGAGAAAGAGCCAAGCCTTAATTTGTTGGAGAAGATAGCATTATGATCATTCAGGAATTCTGAGTGAGCAAATAAAAATTATTAAAATTACCTTAAAAAGAAAAGCCAAATTCTGCTTTGTAGAGTATAAAATAGAGCACAAAAAGCCAAATATCTTTCTGAGTTATTAGAAGTGTGGGAGTCCTGATAGTTTATCTTATAAGAAGTCTAAACATCTATAGAAGCCTAAAAGTTTATTTGTAGAATACTACCTAGTTAAATATTTGAACACTTGGTTTTATCTTTGAATGTTAAGTGATTATCTATTTGTTTTAGTGTTGTCTATATTGGCAAAAAATAACAAGATATTAGGTGGATTAGGTTAAATTATGGTATATGCATAAAATAAATTACTATAGAGAGATTGACAATAAACTTAATATATATTGTCTGAGAAGTCCCAGAAAGTTGAAGATTAAAAACAATGTAAGGATTCAATTTTGTATAAATGTTTCTATGTACACACAATTTATGTATATATGGTTTAACATAAACTGTATTTTTCAAAGTTAATAAGCAGTTCCCAAAGTCCTTAATCCTGTTGATGGTTTTAATTATCTGTTAAGGATGTATGACAGTTTATTTGCAGTATATCTTAGACATTCCATTTAATAGCAAAATTTCTAGCTGTTGTTGGCTGCATAATAAGGTAGAGAGTGACCAGATGCTTTATCTTCCCAGGGATCTATTCAGTGGAGCTCATAAGTGACAGTCTATACGAGTGGCACGTGAAGCTGCAGAAGTAAGTGGCTCTGATGCCAACCACTCCTGTAACATTTGACCATGTTTTTAATAAAGTGAGGAGAAAAAGGGAGCAGCTGTGAAGTAAGGTGTTTCATGGAGTTTGTGAGACAGTGGCAACTTAGAAACCAAAATGTGTTTAGTAACCTGAGGCTGACTGATAACCAGTTTATTTATTTTTAAGTTTATGTTTGAAATAAGGGATTTGGGTAGGATCTGTGTATGTAGAACAGTTGTAGACAAATCTTGATTTTGGTAGTTAGTGACTCAACTTTTTATGGTTTTGATAGTGGCAATTTTTTTCCTTGGAAAACTTTGGCTAATATAACTTTAGGAAATCATTTTTTTTGCAGTTTTTCCCTTTTTTTGAGGAAATTATGAACTGTGACTTTTTCTTTGGACTGTTGATTTTGTATCCCTGTATTAATTTCCTTTTGGGCTGGGTGTGGTAGCCCATGCCTGTAATCCCACCACTTGGGAGGCTGAGGCAGGAGGATCGCTATGAGTTTGAGACCAGCCTAGGCTACATAGTGAGTTCCAGGTTAGTCTCAACTACATAGTGAGACCCTGTCTCCCCCCTCCCTCCAAATTTCCTTTTTGGGCTTAAATTCCTAAGGAGCTAGAGGCTCCAGTGAGTTATTTTTATCTCTTGTACTGACTCACTTTTTAATTTAGTGAGAAAAATTCTCTTCTGTTTGAACTGGCTTTTGTTTTGTTATTCTTAGGGTTGATCCTGATAGTCCTTTGCACAGTGATCTTCAGATCTTAAAAGAAAAAGAAGGCATAGAATATATTTTGCTTAACTTCTCTTTTAAGGTAAGAAAATAGTACTGGGGCTCCATATGCTTCTAATGGGAGTGTATATTTGTACAACTGCTTTGGAAAACAATTTTGTAATATTTGTACAGAAGATAAATATACCTATAGTTAAGGAATACCTTATAGTTAAGGAATTCTCTAGGAATCTGCTCTTTGACAAATGAGTATTTAGGCACACCAAGAGACAGACACAAAAATGTTCAGAGAAGCATTGTTTATAACAGCCCAAACAGAAAAAGTCCAAGCTCCAATAAAATGGAAAACTATATCATTCATAAAATGGAATACAGCTACATCCAAGATGGATGAATCTTAAATAAACTGCTAAGCAAGAGAAATCAGACCCTTAAACTTGGTTTGTACAATTCCATTTATATATCGTATTGAGTTTAGAAATAGATAAAACATATTGTTTAGGGAATGCATTCTCATTGGAGACTGTATCACCTGATTGGGGTGAAAATTGGTCCTTAGAGTGAAAAAAATCTTTAATATTACAGTGACCTTGGCCCTGCAAGGGGCCTCAAAACATAAACCAAGATGTAGCTCTATAGTGTTAAAAATTCCATTGGGCAGGTAGGGTGGGCAAACGAGAGAAAAAAGCACTTTGCACAAAAATGAAAAGAACACTAAGAAATACAGATTCATCCCTGGCATTAAAACTGTCAAGAAGAGCAAGCAGACTGTGCTTTACATTCAGGTCAGGATGAGGAGCCCATCTGGAGTTGTGAGCCAAAAAGGACATGTACTTTACAACAACTTGTTAAGTGTACTTTCCTTTTTTATTCATTTTCTGGACTTCCACGTTATATTCAGTAGTTATTTTTAAGATGCTAAAAATAAAGGTTAAAAAGAATAGCAAAGGAATATAGGTAAAATGTTAGTGAGTTATTATGAACTATGGATAAGCTGTAATGGTTTAAAATCCTTAATATTACTGACTCTTTAGCTTTAAAAAACTAGAAAATATTTTAAGGAGTTAATATTTGAATTATATGGGGCTTCTTTTTTACCTGTTCTTTTAAATTGAGAAGAAAAAATTATGTAACGGTTATCTTCTAGATCAATGTTTTTCCATTTCAGTGAGGTAGACTAATGGTTTAAAATAACTGGAAACATCTAAAATGTGATTCCTGTTCTTCAAGAGAGATCTTTCTGGAGGTGGGAGATTAGTGTTATAAGGCCATTGGACTTCAAAAATAGTGGTGAAAATTCTGGAATCTTACCTTTATAGAGAAAGAGCCGTTAGAGATTTTTATGGATGGTTGTCATTGATCTCTCAGACTTTTCATTTTGTGTTAAACAGTCATTATGCCTCTGATAGCAGACTAGGGATTAGATAGGGTAGAATGGATTTCTGGGAGACTAGTTAGGGCTTTTCACTTAGCTGGAAATGGTGAAGACTGATGTAGGGTGGTGATAGTAAGAGTGAGAGTAGATGGACATGATATGTTTTGGATGAAGAAAGTTAAGATGAAATGATACTTCCTTTATATTTAGGAAAAGAGTGGCAGCAATTTTCTGAAAGCTTTTTATGAGGGTTTTGTAAGGCATGCTTTTCTTTGGAGGTCTATCTTATGACTATACTTTCATGAAATAGCCCAAGAGTGATAGTTCCCTCTGTTTGGTATTGTAGAAAGTGCATCCATGTCCGTTGGGCTATTTTTTAAGAATGTGACTCTGGTGTTTACCTACTGCACATGCTGATAACACTTCACTTTTACTAATTCCTATAGGACAGTGAATGAAATGGTTAGGCAAAACCAATCAACCAGCCATGAAAAACTAGGGAAGTTATTTGTGAAAAGATTTTTAAAAATGTAAAATATTTTAACTGAAAATAATATTAAATCACACATTCATGTGTCCAACACCAAGCTTATGAAATAGAATCTTAAAAGTACCTGAAGTCCCAAGTATGACCCTCCCTGTCACTTCCTCCTTGAGAGGCATTTTTTAAAAGAATATGAAGTCTTGGCCAGGAGGACTTGTGACTACAGATTCACATTAATTATATTTTCCTGCTCTAGATAGAACTTCAGGGAAGGAATGATCTGGGAGGTAAACCGTTGAAGGTGTAGTGGATTTGTGTTTCTGGACCATGGCTCCTGACAACAGAAAGGGCTGGAGTATTTTTTAAGAGGCCTGGGGAGAAGGTGGTCTTCTTGTGTTAACTGACATTGTGGGAAGGACCTTATGCCAAATTAGCAAGTTATTAGTATCAGGAGTCACAGACTAGAGGCTAGCAGGATGACTCAGCAAGATTCACAGGAAGGAGCCAGAACTATATACACTTAATGGTCTCAGTTACCCATGGTGACAACTTGAGAGTTGCAAATGATGAGAAAAATAGAGCTTGAATTAGAACACAGTCATGGGAATGAGACCTGGTCAGCAGCTTCATAAATCTGATGTGCTGTGCTTTTAAGGAAATGAGTTTTCTTACTCGTTGGGCCACATCTGAATTACTGAATTGAATTTCAGGGTGGTACTTTAAGAAGGGTTTATTTAGACAAATCTAAGTTTATGTAGAGAATAGTAACCAAGAGTGGAAAGAGGTTCTAGTCTATGTCATAAGATAGCTGGTTAAATTGTGGATTTGGAGGTGAGACAGTCCCTTCAGCAATCTGAAGGACTGTATAGTTGAAAGCATTAGTTTTGTTTTTTGTGAACACAGAATTCATGAGTCAAATTATAGAGGCAGTTTTTAACTCAGTATAAGCAAATGATTTGTAATTATTTAGAGTCATCTTGTGACAGTCTTAAAAATAGAATGTTTTTCATCCTTTGAATGCCAAGGTGCTAAGTGGATAATTTAGATAACTTTATGACATCTTTGTATAGCCTGAGTTTCTCATTTCTGAGCTAATATACTAACATAACTCAAGTTTCCATTTTCATGATCACCTTCAACTTTTTTTTCTTTTTTGGGTAAAGAACTCCTTTTTATTTCTGTAAAATCTTGATTAGTTGAGTTCCAGGGTATAGTTCATGGAGTAGAATCCCTAGGTTTTCATACAGAAGAATTATTCTAAAGAATCAGTTGGAGATAATTCTCAATTAACATAGGTTTTGTAGTCACCTGTTTGGCATGACATATTTAAAGGGTAAATAATAAAAGATTAAATGTGTGGTTTTATACCAAGCTTTGTAACAATGGTTTTCATTATGCTTCTTTCATTACATTATAAATGCTAAGCTGCTTAATAGGTTATCATAGGTGCCATTCAAGTTGGTATCTTGTGTAGGTAGATTCTTCACTTTCTGTTGTGCATTCTGTGAATAAGAAAATATCTATTTTTATCCCTCTCCCCCCAGCCAGGGGTTGAACATAGAGCCTTCTCACTGAGCTGCATCCCCAGGGCAAAATTCCGCCTCCCATTTTTATTTTGAGACGGTCTCACTAAGAGGCAACTTAGTTGCTCATTGGCCTCAAAGTTGTGATCTTCCTGCTTCAGCCTCCCAGCGTGCTGGCTTTGTTTCATTTTGTGATGTATTTTCATTAAGTATTTTTCTGGGTTGGTAGTTCCTTTCTTTCGGCATCTTGAAGCTACCATACTCTTTATTGTAACCTCTGTTCTTTCTCTTGAACTACTTAATAGTGGTTAAATCTTATGATATCTCCTGACCATTCATTGCTGTGACAGAAGCCCTAAGATAAACAGTTTAAAAGAGGAAAGAGAGCCTGGCGTGATGGTGCACACCTGTAATCCCAGCATTTGGGAGGCTGAGGCAGGAGGATCGCTGTGAGTACAAGACCAGCCTGGTCTACATACTGAGTTCCAGGTCAGTCTCAACTACATAGTGAGACCCTGTCTCAAAAACCAAAAAAAAAAAAAGGAAAGATTTATTTTGAGGAGAAAGGGTGGGAGGGGACAAAGCACAGCTTCCAGAAGTACCCCCATGGACCTCCTGTAGTAAGGCCTTGTTCCTAGAATTTCCTACCACCTCCTGAAACACCAGCTATGAGGACGGTCAGGAGCCAAGCCTTAACAGTCCTGCACCAATTTTGGAAAGTGCTTAGCTCTTTGGTTCTGTTTTCTTCTCCTTCTAGGACTCAATGTGTGTGGTAAACCTTTTCATTGTGTTATCTTGTGTCTTGTTTTTTTCCACCTTTTTGCTTTCCTAGTTTCACTTTGGATGTTTCTGATATATTTTCCAGTTTATTGACTCTTTTCTACTAAGATCCTGCTGTAGTTAAACTCAGTCCATTGAATTATTAATTTCAGTTATTCTGTCTCTCAATTTCAGAATTTCCATTTGGTTCAGTTTTATGGTTTGCTGCTCTCTGCCAGGTTTTCAACCTTGTCTTTTTCTTCCTTGAACGTATTCATAGCTCAGTCCTTGTGGTTTTGTGCCTCTGGCTTGCTTCTCTGGTTTTTTTTATTGTATTATTTCTAAGTTTCCTATAGCTGCTTATTTTTAGTGATAGACACTGTATATGAAACATTGCATTGTGGATCTACAGCATTGGATGATGTTCTACAGAGAGGACTGAGGTTTGCCCCTTTCAGGGTTGTGGGCAGTAGCACTGTGGGCTGGACTCCTTCCATCAGGGGTTGAGCTGATTTAAAGTTGGGCTTGATTTCTGCTAGGGAAGTTGATAGTTTGTCTTTAGGGACCTAACCTAAAGTATAGATTTACCAGTGCCTCTCCTAGATGGACTGATTCTAATTTTTTATCTCACCAGTCCTAACTCTCTGAGTTCTACTCATTTTGTTAACTAATTCTCCTTCTCTTTTGTAGTTGAAGAAAAACCAAGGGGAAAAAGGCCCTTTCTGTGGTGTTCCTCTTTTTCTTTCTGCACACAGCCCTGTCCTGTAATTGCTAAATTTTGCCCATCCTTTCTTGTTACTAGCCCGAAATCTATTACTTTAATGATTCCTTTGTATGGGTCTATTAGGAATGGAACCACTTAGTGAAATAAATTTACCAAGACACCATTCTATTTGGGCGTGATCTTAACTTCGTTTTTATTTGTTTTGGTTTTTGTTTCATCTTACTTGTTGGTATTGATTTATAACTGTCATTATCAGATAATAAATACATACATTCTTTATTGATGATTTTTAAATCTTCTAAATAGTATAGTATTAAGGATGTCCTTGAAATTAAACTTGCTTATTTGCTTTTTAGGATAACTTTCCATTTGATCCTCCATTTGTTCGAGTAGTGTTACCTGTTCTCTCAGGGGGGTAAGTTTAAGTGATTTTTTTTTTTTTTTTTTTTTGGTAGTGTGCGTGGGAATCATTTGTAGAGCTAGTTAAAACACTGGGAGGCCTAGATTGCTAGACCTTTGTCTCAAGTTTTCTGATTTAGCAGGACCCAGGTGGGGGCTGAGAATTTACATTTCTAAGAAATTCTCAGATGAAGTTGATGCTGCTACTTTGGGGGCCACATTCAGAGCCATGGTATAAATCCTTACTATCTTATAGGTAGAATTTTTAATGGTTCCTATTAATATATATTTATCATAAAAACCTAGTGCTTTTCAAATATGGATTGTGGTTGAGGACATGAGTTCTGGTTGGAGTGGTTCCCACATGCTGGGCCCCTCAGCTGAGCCTCTAGGAAGGGCTGGCTCCCACAGCCTGTGGAGCTGGCCCCTGCCTTGCAGTGGAGTGGCTGCAGTTGAGTGGAATCAAGTGGCAATTGTTGTGTGCTTCGATGTTGTAGTGATTCTTTTTCATGGATAGAAGTCGTATGGAGGAGAAGAAAACGAATTTATACCTAGTTCAGTTATGAAATGTGTAGACTGCCAACATAGAAGCAATTAAACTAATTTGAGAATTTTCGCTCAACTGACTCATCTACTTTGTGAGAGAATCTATATTCTAGTAATGAAATCTAAAAGTAATCTCACCCTTAATTTGATCTTTTCTGTGATTGAGACAGGAAGGGATACATTTAGGTTAAAAATGTGTGTTAACTACTACAGAGACCTTTCTCTGAAGAGGTTTGCTCTTAAGTCCTTACAGAATATTTAGTTCTATTTGATTTACTTTTTTATATGTATTATGGGATCCAGTCCTATTAAGAACTGTTTCTCCATATAGGTAGAATGTGTATTAGCTGTGGCGTTGATCCTAGGGATGAGGTCTGTTTACAAAGCTCAGACAAAAGAAGGTGGCTTTTCAAAAATTCAGTATTTATGAATGTGCCGAGCCCATTCTGACTGATATAACACCATAAAATTTTGCTGTGCTCCTGAAAGAGCTCACTTGCCTGATCCTTGCTACCTAGTCCTTGCCACATTTCCCAGAATGCTCTGTGAGTACCAATCCTGGGATGTTAACAAGGGTATGTTTTGAAAGGACTGCAGGAGCAGGCTCATGATATTCATTACCGACTGACCTCGTGGAACCTAAATGTGATTTTTCTTAGATGTTAAACAAACAGCTTTTCCAAATCTGTTTAACTCATAATTATTTCGCCCTATGGCATCTGAGAAGAACAGGTCCTCTGATTTACTTTTTGGGAAATGCTTCTTTATTAGGAGTCTAAAACTGAATGATTCTCCAACATTTTCTGCTGCAGAGCAAGAAAAGGTGTAGTAATCTCTTAGGGATAGACCCTAGAGGTCTACATATCCCCATGTAAAAGCTTGGTTCTATCTGATAGATCTGTTACAGAACTGATCTCAGATATACTATTGTGATGAGGGCGCAAAGTAATTGATTGAGCATAAAACAATTGTTTAGAATTGTGTAAAATTTCATTTTGGATTTAAAGCTTCCCTATAGTGTTTTGAATTAGAGAGTAAGAGTGTTTTCCTCTCACAAAACCTTATAATCAGTTTTGAGAACTGAATGTTGAGTAATCCAGCCAAATATTTACATATACAAAGTAAACATAGACTGAAAGATGGTAAATTTTTAACTTTGGTGTCTCTTGCTCCCAGTGTCAGCTTTTTGCTACCTATCAAGCCATAGTTTTTATTTTTTCATAGTTTAAATAGTGCTGACATTTTAACTTACAATTGTGCAGCATCCTGGATCACAGATAGGTCCTTTTTTTTTTTTTTTTTTTTTTTTCCCT